TTGGCAGGATAAATCTCCCCAGACTTATCCAACGGCTGTGAACTTTTAAAACTAACATGAGTCTCTATAAATGTCCAGTTTTAGGGTTTTACACAGAATTAAACCAAACAACATGAATCAAACATAAAGGTTTATTTATTTCCACTAAACAACAAAAGTACATCAAAATGATTGAAGCTAAGGGCATACAAAACTGTCTAACAGTAATGGATGCATGCACCAATTTCAATAAAGCATATGCTTTTTTTTTTATCAAAAGCACACTTGAATGGAAATTTACTTCTTTTTATTGATGTACTTTTACATCTTATTGTTAATGTAAATATGCATTGGTCTATCATTTGTCAATGTAAAAATGTAATATTGCCAAACACATCCAAAAGTTAACCAGAATGCAAATTTACCCTGAACCGAGATTTACACTCCATTTGCTTACTTTTCCAAACGCAGCCTAATTGTTAATTCAGACATTTTATATTGGTAGTCAATATTTTAGTTCAGCTTTCTAACAGATTTAGTTCAAATAATGCTATGGTACTTGTGTCATTGTTCTTTAATTTATCATTAAGAATGCCTTATTTTAAAGGATAACTTTCATATTAATACTAAGTATTTTGGGGCTAGTTTCACTTTAGAGATCGGCTTCAGTCAGTGCAACCCGTGCTCACACCGTTGGAACAGCTTCTTACGACCTTACATTGGGAATATCTCCCCATGAAATAAAGCACAGAAGTATGGAGATATTCCTAATGCAAGGCTGTAAAGACTGCTTGAACAGACTTTGTGCTAATTGAAGCCGAATTCTTCACTTTAGTACTCAAACTTCAAAACATGCCATTGCATCACCTAATTAAATTCTAGAAAACTGCCAATTTTGTACTTGCCATTGGCAGCAGTCACTTATCTGTAACAAGTGATGATATATACAACTTAAAATGCCAAAACTACTCTTTTTAATATTTTTAAGACCATTTTAACTTGATTGTCTTCCCTGGCGATAACAAGAATTACTCATCTTCTCTATCAACAACGGTGGTCTAAGCCCCCTTTGTTATGGATTGAATATCTAAAAAAAAGAGATTATGATGATGACAGTCTAAACCCCTTTCCCAGGCAACTACATCACCTTCTCTGGCAATGTTTTTCCATATAACTTCTTTGGCGGGAAGCACTGGTTCTTCTACCAAAAAGGTTAGGGGATAAAATGAATAGTAATGCCCAATCACAATAAAAAGGGATTTAAACATGGCTATTTTGGCCATTTCAAAATTATGTTTTTCTCACCAAACCAAAACTCAAAAGATATTTGTATTCTTTCACATGCGATCTAACATGTTTTAACAATTTTGGACTAAACTAGCAATTTTTAAGAGTTTAAGTAAGGTTCGAAATTTCGATATGTATCGGGGGCCTCCTTCCTGATATGCCCCTCCATGGGGTGTTTTGGGATTTTGACCGGTTCAGGGGTTGGATGGACCTTAAACCGGCCCCTCTAAGTCAGATTTGAAAAAAAAAAAAAAAACTATCGATATTGCCTGATATGCCTTTACCAACATATCGGTATTTTGAACCTTGAATTTAAGTACTTCACTAACACATTTTGAAGTTTGGATGCTAAAGTAAGACTAGCCCCAAAGTACAAAAATACCCTATTTTAAATTTTAACTAAAGGGAAGACTGTAACTTTGGAATTAGTAAGGTATTATATATAGAATTTTTCTGCACCAAAATTAGTCATATTCAAACTATCAAATACCAAGAATGCCCCTATTCTTTTGCCTTCAATCCATGTTTTTTTACTCGAACTATTGATTTTTCATGTTTAATTCTTCTAATCTATCTCACCCCTGCTTTGCCCCTCCCCCCTCTCTTAGGTCAAAATAAATTAAATTTCATTAAAAAAACAGAAGAAGGAAAAACTAAGCTTAAGTTTCATTATTATGTTAAAAATATAATTTTCATTATATTGGCAGGTAGCTTAGGTTCAATTAATATGAATTAAAAGATAAAAGTAGTTCCTTTCAAATGTTTGGATGTCACTTCCATCTTCAATGGTTTTGGTTGGTGATCAAGTGCTAGTGTGCTACCGACGTCACTACTTTTGTTTTAGTTGACATAGCCGTAAACAAACTCACTATTAATAAGGGTATTTAATGAGTTCACATCTAGGTCTCGACCACAAATCACAACGGTTTGATTACCTTGGATTTAGGGCTTGGTCTTAGGTGGTTAGGTAACTCAATTTTCAAATCGAAGACTGCCTAAAATATTGTCCTAATCAGAATTCATGATTCTTGGGTTGATTTGTTAGCTCAATCACCTAAATTCAATTCAAGATCAGTTCAATAGTTCTGTTTTTCAAAATTAAAGCAACTATCATGTTAGAAAAATAAAAAATAAAAAGATTTTTCCAGCCTGGTGGTTGTTTGTGTTATAGTTCAAAATATCGATATGTATCGGCCTGATACTTATCATTCTGGGACCTCTTCGATAAGCCTTTATAGTGAGTGTATCGGGAGTCTGACCGGTTCAGGGGGTGGAGGAGCCCTAAACCAGTTTCAAAAAAAAAAACATTATCGATTCCCCTGATATACTGTATCGATATTTTGAACCTTGCTTTGTGTTTCGAAAAACAAAACCATTCATGTTGGCGATTACTAAATTTGACAGGTATAGCTGTGGGGAATGAATAAAATAATTTGATTCTGATTCTTTCAATGATGTTCAGAAATTCTTCATGATCCGGGAAAAAGCGTGCTAAACTCGTTAGTCATTACTACTCTTAATGATCTGGGGATTTCAGAAATTCTTCAGAATATTGCTTCTAAGACGCAAATACTCCCCAAAGAGTTGTTAGGATTAAATGACTGTGTGGGTCAGCCTGCACTTGGATGCGACTTGATACGATGTTCTTTAATCTCCACTGATGAGCAACCTTGTTGTTCAGGCAGGAGATTACCAGATTGGAATCCTCCTCGATTATAATGGAATACTCTTTGAAATTCAAGGCTAGGTTGTGGGCTTCCCACGCCTCGCTTGGTTGATAGTAGACTCCCCAATTTTGTAAGGTTTAAAGTCCAGGATCTTCCCTGTACAGTTACGAGCTATAGCGGCAACCGAATACCTGTTACTAATGTTGCAAGAAGCAAAATTAATTTTGATGATTCCAGGCCTCGGATGCTTCCAAATAATCTGTCGGGGATGGGGGTGGGGGGGCGCACCAGATCAAGGATTACATTTATAGTAGCAGAATGTTGCTGTGAGTTGTAGTGCAGTACTTCCTGTGGAATTTTTTTTTTCTTGCTTGTAATATAATATTACTGGATGGATACAAAAAAGATCTGATACATCACAGATGATTGATTCCTAGTCTATGAGAAGAAATTGTATTCATAACCCACAAAGACGAGGACTTCTGAACAAACTTGTACAATTCTAGACATGAGGGGACAGTGATTAACTTGTTTGTATGATAAATATGAAATTATTCACCATATTCATAATGTAGCAACTTATTTCATAAAGCAGATGAAGGTACAGATATAATGATGAATTTAGCAATAAGCTTCATGGAATTTTAATCTGCATCAATCCAATCTTGTGCTTGTGCCTTTCTAAGTCCATGTTGATGACAGTCTAACTCCTTTGCGGTAAAGTATTTTGATGTTCAAATTCTGTAGCAGGTGGCAGATTCAAAAGACATTGGCATCATAAGAAGAGGAAAAATTACATAACTTGTCATGTTCTTAGATATCAAGGACCTGACAGCTAACCAGTTCAGCAGAACCAAAACTTTTAGTGGCAATGACCTTCCAGACATCTCTTTCTGCTTCTGCAAATGAGCTTTGTCGTTCACATGGAGACACTGCTATAGGAGATAGGCTTAAATGACTGTGTGGGTCAGCCTGCAGGACTGTAATGTCATGATTGGCATCTTTAGTAATTACATGAAGCTTTCTAAGAAAACCAGCAAGTAAATAGGGAGATTCGGAATCAGTATAATCACGAATAGGGACCTTCTCTATAACAACTTTCCAAGTATCTTCTTGGGAATCATATAACTTGATCTTGCCACTATCTAGAGAATTAGATGGATCTAATGCATATAACTCTTCATCTACTACAACACCCAATTTTGTTCCAGCCTGCTTTGCAGGCCAACCCTCCCCCATGCCAACTGGCATTTCATCCCAGGAATTTGTTTCAGGATCATAAACCTCTCCTCCAACATCAATAAAAAAGGGCCAAGAATATAGACTCTGAGGTACACATAGCCTTCCCCTATATGAAGTCATTCCAGTGGCAATAGGTTTTAGCATGTCAGCCAAAAAGGCAGTAGGTAACACTTGAGCTCTTGAGAATGGCATGTTTGGTACTTGGGACCATACCCCAGTCTGAGGATCAAATACTTCAGCGGATTGAAGAGGAGTACATCCACCTTGACTGATACTGACCCCTCCAATAGCATAAAGTTTGTTGTTTAAGATGCCAGTCTTACAATAGGCCCTACCCATGGACATTGAGGTCATTTCTTCCCACACATTTTGAATTGGATCATATCTCCAAACACATCTCATGGCTGAAACTCTAGAGAATCCACCTAAAACATAGAGACATCCATCAACTGCCCCAACAGCACAACCACAAAATGGCATTCGATCAAATCCATCCCTCCTTCCAAGCCATCCTCTGATGGCATCTGCAATCTTGATACTTGAGCCAATCACATTCCACATCCGAAGCCCATACAATGCCCTCCTAGATTCTTCTTTGTCAGCAGCATTTGGCATTGGTGGCAACCGCTGCCATGTTCTGGAAGAAGGGTCCAACGCATGCCATAAAAGCTTATCACTATCAACCTTAGTCAATAAATAAAGCCATTCTTCTGTTGTTCCAAGTTCTTTTCTCCAACTGAAGAGTTCTGAGCTCGTAACTGCATTTTTCCAGCTCCTTGATACCAACTTCATATTCAAGTAGTTAACTCTTGGAAGTCTAGCAAGGATTTGTAGTGATAACTCATCAGGGAGACTAGGAATCAGTCTTGGATTCTCCTGACTATCACTTGAGAACATTCTCTGTCTCTTGCAGGTTTCCCTTTGAGAAACCTCACTGTACTCACTTGCCCTAGCTCTGTTACCAGACAAGCTCAAAAAAGCCCCCATCTAAACCTTTCTGATAACTTGATATCCAGAGAGGATCCAGACCTTCCAAACTTCTTAATTTATTTCCTGTGCAGGATAAGCTATATCATTGTATTCCAACCCATCAAAAGTCCTGTAATCCAAATAAACAAGTAGAATCTACAGAGTAGCATCAGTGTATGAAACATGTATATCCCAGAGATAAATCTCTGCATATGTGCAGTAATGAAGAATGGTTTACAGGCATATCCAATCTACTTTTCATCAAAACAGTCAGAGAACTAGCAATATAAGGTTTCAGGACTGAGCTCTTGAAGCCTATATAACTTCATATATTGCTACTGAAAATTTCATTGAAATTAATGAAAGAAACCAGAACATAAAATCCACTATACTTTGAGAAAGCCAAATTAAAATCCTAAAAGTTATACATAACCAGTGGGCAGAAATTCAAATAACTATGGAAAAAAATTCCAGCTTGAATACTTCTAGCAGATCCTAGTTTCCCAATTTATCAACAAAAGAGCAGTTAATTCCCTTTAATTGGTAACAAATGTCAACCAAAGCAGTAGAATAACTGAAAAGGCAACAAAGAAATTCGACAGAACTATAGTGTAGTTCGTAATTTTATATCACTCAAGTACGATAAAGAAAATAACGAAGCTGATACAATGTAACAATAGGAAGAAGAAAACCCTAATTCCCCGCCACATACAGCAAAATTAAGCCACAAACCAAGATACAACCCCTGGCACAAGAAAACGTCCCCAAATGCCGTTGTTCATTCAACCAGAACAATATTCGAAAAAAGGACAACCGAACAAACAAGAATTCTCACGAACAAATGCGAAACCCCGATGGCTACCCGCCAAAACTTTGCGGAAACAAAAATAGAAACGGAGGTTTCTAGATCAACATTACTCTGATCGTCGAATTGTGAGAAAAATGAACGAGAAAATTACCTGGTAAGACCTGGAAAGCTCCCAAAATAAACCCTAATCGGATGTTTAAGATATTTCCCCGCAGTTGCTTCCAGGCCTTATTGCATGATGGACGAGGACGACGACATTCTCTTTCTCTGCTTCCCAATTTCCACAAAGTTAAGTGTGATCCAGTAGGAGTACTTCAATAAACAGAAGCGTCAGATTTGATCAAGATTCGAGTCCAACGGTTGATTTGATTTATAAGTCATCATGGACACGTTTTTTCTGCGGTAGATTCTCAGAATCTCAAGATCCCTCCCTTGAAAGAAGAATGTTGGCAGTTGGCGCAAAGCCGAGATCGGCTTCCGTGTTTACAAGACCGTGCTAAGGTGTGATATTCCCAATAGAAGGCAATAAATAACTGTGCGACCGATGAACACGGTCTTGTAACTTGCGAGCACGTGCTAGTGTTTTACATTGTGAGTATGTCACCATTCACGCAAATAATCTGTGAATGTAATGCAAATTTTTTTTAATTAAAATTATTTATATTTTTTAAGAAAGAATATAAAAGTTATTTTATTATAATTTTAATAATTATTAAAATTTTTAGCCCATTAAGTGTTGAAAATGTAAGTTCAATTATTACTTTTTACCTCATTTAATCCATTCTTATTAGGTTGTATACTTAAGGTATTAATTCTCATTTTCTCTTATTAATTGTTATATTATATATTTAAGTTATTTTTCACAAATAAATGCTACTAATTAGATTTATGGAAAATTTTTAAAAAATATAAATCCATATATTTTAAAAATGACTCAAAAACAAAATATTTCTTTATCCAAGTGGTGGTTAAGCAATTTAACCATCTAAATCAAATTGATCAACCTATGAAGTCATAGTTATGTAATAAAATTTTTAAAATAGAAATAAATATAGAAAATTACAAAAAAAATGTAGAAAAAAATAGACATATTTACAATATTTTTTATTAATCAAATTAAAAAAATAAGTGTAATAAACAATAATTATTTTTATTGATAATGAAAATGAAATACATAATTTAGAACTAGCCAAAAATGAAATATAAAAATTAATAATAATTAGTTCAACTTTTGGGTTAAATGTGTTAACATCTAGGACCTTAGAGGCCACTCTTTGGGTAAGGAAATCAAAGAGATGTCACTTTCTTCTAGGAATTAAAGGTTGAGACCCCAAATAGATAGAAGGCTTGTCTACTTTTTTAATATACAAACCTGTTGATAAGACTCTTTGAAGTTTTGGATGCAAGTTTTTACTAAAGAGTACCTTTGATTTGTTATAGTTGACCTTTTGTCCAAATGATTGCTCATAGACTAAGATAGCCTGTAGGAGGGAACCAACTTCTTTGAGATCTGTTGAGGAGAAGATAAAGCTATCATCACTGGAGCACACACTTTTAAGCCAAACATCATTTTATCTTAAACCAATTTATTGAGAATAGCATAGAACACATCAGAGCAAATCAAGAAAAGATAGGGTGAGGTTGTATCCCCTTGCCTGAGGTCTCTTTTTGGAAAGATCCCTTTGGAGGGGGACCCATTTATCAAAATTCTATAAGACACTGTGGAGACACATGTCATGATCCACCCTATCCATTTTTCCCAAAACCCAATTTTCTTATTGCCTTTTCCAAAAAGGTCCATTCTACTCTATCATAAGCCTTGTTCATTCTATTTTAACTGCGATGAAGCCTTTCTTGGATTTGGAATGTTGCATAAAATGGATGATTCCATGGGGCCAGAAGGATATTATCAGAGATAGCTCTTCCAGACAGGAAAGCACTCTCATTCTGTGAGATGATCTTCTCCATGATTGGCTTTAGTTTGTTAGCTAGAATTTTTCCAATAATTTCATAAACTATGTTGCACAATCTAATTGGCCTGAAGTGTGTCAAGGACTCAAGGTGCTTGACGTTAGGAATTAGAACCATGAATGTTTGATTTTGTCTCCAGTTTAAGGTACCCTCAGAGAAGATGGTCAAAACTTCCTTCACCACATCCTCTTTGACTATGCTCCACTACTTTTGGAAGAAGATATTGGGATAGCCATCCGGGCCTGGGACCTTTCAAAGGGGCCATTTGAAAAAGAGCAGCTTCAATTTCTTCTATAGAAACAGGTTTTTGGGTATCATCATTTTCCTCAACTCCAACCTTTGGATGGAGGGATTCCAGGGCTGGTTCTATTTGAGGAGTACTAGAATAAAAGAGGATATCTTCAAAATGATCATTAATAATATTTGCAATTTGCTCCCCTTTCTATCCACTCACCTGAATAATTTTTTAATTTGAAAATTCTATTTTTTGCTCTATTTTCTGATAGTGGTATCGTGGAAAAATCTTGTATTTCTATCCCCCAATCCATGGGTAGAGCAATGACACATCTTTTAGTTTTAACTTTCATTGGGTCAAGAAGTCCTTAAATGGCAAGAGGATAAAACATTAACTTAGGGTTTCGTGCAAAATGGATGTTGCTTCCTTTATGTCTTATCTAGGATAAGTTTGGGTACTGGTGTTTGGTTAGTAAATAAGTCACTATGAATTACTTCTTCAAAAGTGATTATCACATTAACTATCATCAGTGAAAAGGAAAAAACTATGTGTCTCTTTTACATAACATAACCTATGTATCTCACTTATAAGTGATAATTATCAAATTAAGGCCAATTTTGGGAGTGTTTAAAAATAATGGGTTATTTGAAATAAGCACTTATTTTGAGCTGGGACTACATCAATAAATGCATATTTATGTTTGAAAAATAAGTCCTGAATAAGTGATTATTCAAAAAACTCAAATTTTGAGCTTACCTTTCAAGTGCTTATTGAAGAATTCTTATTTCATTTTGGCCTAACTTAGCCTATCACATCATTTTGAAAATACCTATACTATCCCTGTTTGAAATAAGTGCATTTTCACCAAAAACTCATGAATGGTTATTAGAATAAGTACTTATTTTTCAAATAAGCACTCCCAAATTCCACCTAATGTTGCTTTCTAGATGAAAAACCAAACTTTTTTACTTTTCCTTATGATCGGTTGATCTCAAGATAAAGGAGTGGGACTTGACCAAATTGGGAACTACGTTGGCCAACTTTGCTAGCAAACCACTTTTTCTAGGACAATGTCATAGTGATGCACTAAAACAATGAAATCAAAGCCTTAGATGTCATCCACTTTATCATTGTCGCTCCAAATTCTTGGTTTTAGCCCTGCACTATAATATTGTGGCTCCGAGTCTGTACTAAAAGTGAACACTCCATTATGGCCAATGGCCAAGTCTGTAACCCTTATCATTTATTTATGTATAACTATTAGCATTGTACTAAATATGAAGAATAATGGTGGCGTCAAAAAAAATATATGAAGAATAACGGAAATCGAGAATTAATTGCATTTTTAACTTGATTTGCATTCCCACCTACAAATTGGTGTTCTATTAATTATGGCTGTGTATTTAATGTAAATAGGGCTGTCAATGGATCAAATATTGGTCCAACCTCATCCAGTACAATATGAGTCTATTACAGATGGGTTACGACTAAAATCCAATCCAAGAAATATTCTAGATTGGATTGGTCCAATTTAATGTCTTATTGGACTGTCCAACTTCAATTTGGTTTATATTTAGATTGTGTTCAATCCAAACCTAGTTGGTTGACACCCCTATTTTTATCTTTTGTCAATGGACCAGATATTAATTCAACTTGACCCAGTCCAATGTAAATCCATCATAGATGAATTGAGTCTAATCCAATCCAATAAATATTTTTACCTACTAAATCTGGACTGGTTCAATTCAATATGTCTTAATTAGACTCTGTCCAATCCATTGAGATTGGTTTTGATTCAGTCGAATCCAAATCTTGTCCATTGACACCCCTACATGTATAGTGGGCACTAATGGGGCTGTATGTATTGTGTTTGGATGACAGAAGATGTTCAAACAGCCCACCAAAATTCTCTCATAGTATACAGCCTTTTACTGATTTGGTAGTTGATTTTGTTTTAGGAAATAAAATCATTGACAATGAGGAACACCCCTTAATTATCTGTGGCCCTGTTTGGCAACGTTCCACAATAACGTTTCATGCATTCCCAGTGTTCTCATAGAGCAGAAACATGTTTGGCACTAGGGCTGTTCACGGGTCGGTTTGGGTCGGTTTATTGGGGTTTTCCCAACCGACCTGACCTGGTCGGGTTACCTGAGGTGGAAACCGAAACCGACCCATTGATATTTACCAGGTCGGTTTGAGTCGGGTTGGGTTGATTTCGGTTTTGCTCCTGTACAAAAAGGACAGAGAAGCCTAGAAATAGAAGGAAATTTATTTGAGAAGATGGGAGAGTTGGGAGAGCCAAGTTCAAAAATCAAATGATGTCTTGAGTTGAGGACTTGAGGGGGGCGGACCAAGTTAGAGAATAGAAGAGAAGACAAAAGTTATCGATAAAATAGAAAGTCAAACTGTTTTATAGAAAGAAGGCTGAAATATTTATATTTCAAGAAACTTTCTAAATTCTAAAACTAGGTAAAAAATGACACATAATTCTAATTGTAATTGCCTAATGAGGACTTGAGGGGGGCCGACCAAGTTAGAGAATAGAAGAGAAGACAAAAGTTATCAATAAAATAGAAAGTCAAATTTTTTTATAGAAAGAAGGCTGAAATATTTATATTTCAAGAAACTTTCTAAATTCTAATCTAGATAAAAAATGACACCTAATTCTAATTGTAATTGCCTAATGGATTGCCTATTTGGTGTAAAAGACTATAGAAACTAGGATAGATACAATTTAGTTAAGTAGGAACTAGAAGACTAGTTAAATAGGAACTACCGAACTAGAAGACTAATTGGTTTGGTTCGGTTCGGGTCGGTTTTGGTTTTCACACAAGAAAACCGAAACCGACCCGATATATCGGTTTATGAATTTGCCCAACCCGAAACCGACCGGTGCTGATGAAAACCTGGCCGACTCGGGTTGGGTCGGTCCGGGTTGGTCATTTGGTCGGGTTGGGCCTTCTTATGAACAACCCTATTTAGCACAAGAAAAACAAAAAAAAAAGACAAAAAAAACAAGGTGTTCTCGCATGAGAACAACACCCAAAGAATGTGTTCTTTGGGAGTGAAAAATCAGCGCTCCTAAAGAACGCGTTCCTAGGGAACGTAGGGTTCCTAGGACGTTAACCCCTATTAACGAACACGTGTTAATGACTCCCATGAAAGAGAAGGGGTATTTTGGGTATTTTACACTAAATGATAGAAAGAAGCCCTACCAAACATTTTCGTTCGACAGTGAACTCCTCCAACTTGCCGCTACAACATTTTAAACACGTCAACAAGTATGTTGTCTCGTCACTGTACCTGGTTTTGTATCATGTGCTCTATTTTAAACTCACATTTTCTCCAGACAAATTCACCTGAAATCGTTTTTGCTCCCACTGCAAAGATGAATTTTAAACATTCTCTAACCGATAATATTTGAAATCATTTTTCTTATATTATTTTGTTTGCATTTGTTATATGTTATGCCAAATGGGTGTGGTTTCTTCTCTAATCCCATCGGTGGTTATATGTTATGCTGAATGGGTGGGGTTTCTTCTCTAATTCCATCATTGTTGTTTTGTTATGTCTTTTGTTATATGTTGAATATCATGAAAATTGTCCTTTGTTATGTGTTATGAACCTTTGTCCATGTGTTGGATTGTTATGCCTTTTGTTATGTATTCTATTACTAATTTGATGAAGGATGAACATTCTAAATTTGAAAATAAAAATAAAAATAGATAAAATAATAAAGGAATTGAATTAGCATATCTATATGAATGGAAACATAGGGAAACTGTTGGGAATCAACAACTCATATCGAAGAAGCAAGTCTGGTATTGGTACCAAATAAAGAAGCCAAAGGTTAAAGTTTTTAATTTGATGGATTAAGTTCCATACAAAAAACAAGTCTGGTATTTGTTGATGTTTTTTTTTTTTTTTTGTTCATTGGATTAAATTCCATACAAAAAACAAGTTTGGTATTTCAGAGCTCCCACACCCATCATGATTGAAAGTTGATTTCAGCTGGTGAGAATTTCATATCTCAATTTTTTATTATAAATTGAAAGTTGATTATAATGACTAAAACAAGATGATGCAAATCAGATGGAACAATGTGAAGACATCGCTATGACAAGTAATCAATGATTAGGTGGTGATAACATGAAGACATTGCTATGACAATGATACATATTTTTTATGGTTAATTTTAGGCTTAGTGTGGGTGGATTTGCAAAACTAATATTAAGAAATAGTTTCATTATCCAAACGTTATTTTTGTTCTTGTAAAACAAAAAATTTGTTCTCGAAGAACAATTTGTCAAACGTATCTATTACTCTTGATGGGCAAGAAATAAAATTCTTGTTCTGGAATAAGAATTTCTAAAAGAAAAGAAATAGATGCAAACACTACCAAACAAGACCTTAATCTCATTATCTGAACCAAACTCGATGCTCTCAAATTCTAACCTATTATTCAATCTAGCTAATTAAATACAATAAATCACATGGTCTAATGGCTAGGATAGCGAGTTCCAATCTTCTAAAATAAAATAGTAAAATCTATATATTTATCATTTTATTTATATTATAAAATTACGGGACCTAAGACTATTCTATTGCGCTACTTGAAAAGGGGATTATAGTTGATAAGGGCAACTTTTGGGCCCTAATATCAATAAAAATAATACTTTTAATATAATTTCTAAAATAGGTTAATTTTTTAAAACATATATCAAATAAGGGAAAAAACATTGTTCATCTTCTTCCTCTTCCAAACCACTTCTGCCTCAACCCAGCCCTGTAAACCTCAATGACCATCCTCTAGCCACCTCATGTCGTTTGATTGGCGTTGCCGGAGATGGACGGAGGCAAAGGGGGCAGTGGCAGTGGTGACGTTGGTGGATGGTAGTCATTGAGATTTGCAGGGTTGGAGCAGAGGCTAAGGCGGAGGCGGCGACACTAATGGATGGTTTTTAGGAGGAAGAAGATGAATAGTGTTTTTGCCCTTATTTAGTATATTTTTTAAAAAGTTAAACTATTTTAAAAATTATATTAAAAGTATTATTTTTAGGGGTTTTTATGATTCAATCCACCCCTAGGAAATACTAACTCCACCTAGGGGTGGACTAAATCCTGCCCGTGGATTGATGCCAAATTCACGGATAGGATGTGGTTTATAGGGAGGGGCTACTAATAGACTAGGAGGGGCTGTAAAAAAGTTTTCTGAGGGGGAGTGCAGTCCAAAAATCCCTTATTTTTATTGATATTAGAGCCCAAAAGTTGCCCTTATAACTTATAATCCCCCCCAAAAAAAAAAAAAATTGGAGTACTAGAAAAGCGACCAATTTACCAGTTCACGCAACTCTTGAATCCCTTAATTTTTACCCTAAGGGGGTGTTCTTTATCTGGATTTGGAGAGGGGGGAAAGTTGGTCAATGGGATTTTGGTTCCCATTGACCAAGAATCCCATGTTCTTTTTTCAATTTTATGTGGGGACCGGGGAAAGTTTATTTTCCTAGGTATCACTTACCCAGGAAAGTGATACCCATATCTTAGGTGGGTAAATAACTTTCCCACATAGGGGAAAGTTGCCAACACTTGAATGGGACAAAAATGTCCCTTTTAATAATGGATTTCTATGATTAAAATGATTATTGCCTTATATAACTGATAAATAAAAGAATATGGGTAAATGCACTTACCAGAGTCAATGTTTCTCTAGAAAACTTACCCAAATAATTACATTTACCCAGGTAAGTAATTTACCTAAAAGCAGAGGAGGCCTCAAGTCAAAGTGGGACAAATGAAAAGACTTGTCCGGCCAATTTGTCCTTCACCATGGGTCTCACCAATACCATGAATGAAGTGTAAATAAATTCCTTTATTCGTAGAAATAGCAGCACTGGCTCATAATATTGTTGTCGTTGAAGTTCAAACTTCAAACAGGTTCTGCAATTAATCTTTGCATAAATTCACTATGTAAAGGATTATTCATTTCTGGGTTTATTTACTGCATGCAATTTGTGGGAGCTCTACACACCGTTCAACTGAGTATTGATTTTGCCATTTACCCATTTACCAAGTACCAACGCATCCCATTTCGATTATGTATAAATAGATAATCCGGTAATTTTCTCTTATATATTCCTCACAGATCCATGTGTTTTATTTTACATATCTGGAATGCTGTGTAGATCCATCGGTAGTGAAAGTTGTGGAATCCACTACTTGAAATTACACAATGTTACAGCAAAAAAAAAAAAAAGAAAAAAAAAGAAAAGCTTGCTCAAAGCCTCAAATAAATAATAGTTTGGTACCCAAAGAAAAACCTTCTCAACGCAAATTAATAATCGAACAGGTTTGAGCTGGTTCAGTTATCCAGCCAAGCCAAGAAGTGCCACCAGTAGTAATGGGCGTGATAGCAACCCTTTTGGCTTCATGTCTGCGCCCCGGCTGGGACCTCGAGTAGAGTACTCATCATCAATTAATTGAGCAATCGACAACTGAAAGTGGCCACTGGCCGAGGCTAGTACACACCGCCGGCAGCCGGCAGGCAGAGATCCAAAGAGGGTTTGGCGCCTGCTGCCGCTTGTGCATGGACGGTTTCAAGCAAGGGACTGCTGGGGATTAACGGATATATAGTTCTGACTTCTGTTCTGAGTAGCTACCCATTGCCACCCCAAAAGCAAAACCGTAACTCCATGCTTCACTAATCACTAGCGAGTAGGTTGTCAACATTCAACAGTAGTGTGCATAGAATATACAAAATGTAAATAAAGAAATAAAAATAAATCAAGTAAGTCATTGTCAACTATTAAAACAAACCAATCCCATACACAATAGCCAACAGATGCAAACACCTCCATCAACTACACATCCTCGTCCCCACTGCTTCACCTCCCAACCAACCATCAGCCTCCAATCGTTGGACTATCATACTTTTTAAAAAGAAGAAAAAAAAAACTTACCCAACCAATACAGATAAAAACAAATTTCCTGCAGGCTTCTTCTTCTTCTCTTTGGCACTGTTTGATGCTAAGGCAACAAGTCTCTATCCCTTTCAGCAGGTCCAGAACTCCGCCTTCTTCACCTTTGATACGCTCTCCAGAACTCCGGCAGGTGAGACGTGTCCCATTACAGTTACCCTCTTGGACTCCAGATCTATGCTGAAGGATGTCACTCCTTTCATCACAACACAAAAACAACAACAGACCAAACATTAGTTAATGGGCATGACCAAAGAGAGAGAAACAGAAGGACAGTCGGGTCCTGGGTAAAGCTGTTCATTATTTTGTTTGTACACTGCATGGGCAGTTGGTCACATATGACCAGTGGTGAGGCCCACATCTGATCCACCCATCAATATTAGTAGGTACTAGGCAGTGAAGTTCACCATTGATTGGGTAATGATCTTATCTTATACATAGTCCTGATACAAAACTGATAAATGCAAATGCACTACATGAGATCAACCCACTTTTGGTGGGGAAACAAGTATTACCTTCCATCTTGGATAAATGTTTCTTCACTTTGCCAGCGCAACCTTGACAATGAAGAGAAACTCTCATAACAACCACCTGGACCCATGTCATATTGAATAAGAACAATATGTGTGTAGTTAAGATATATATATATAACATAAATGGAAAATTCATCAATTCTTCTTTTCTTTTCCATCTTCATATATTTCTTTCTTTCTTTGAGTAGCATTTTCCTTTTCCCTTCTCTGGTCAGTGATGTGATCAATATGGCAAACCATGAACAGAAAATCACATTCACATACCCCACCTAATAAAAGAATTCTTAATTTAATTAATTAAGCTTTTGAGGAGAAAGAGAGAAAGAGATCTATTATGGAATGAGTGTTTAAATGTGTAGGATAGATAGATACATGGATGTAAGCCACGTATCATGATTTATGGGATAAGACAAGTCTTACTCCATGACTTAGGATTCTGAAATTGCTAACTACGAGCTACAAACAAACCCCTTGTGAAGAAAGAAGACAGAAAAGGCAGAATATTCCTTTTATTTTGTTTATTTTCTTCATCAGAAGAGAATAATACATTTCATCAATTAAATCTAGCTAGCTTCTGTGATCGGAACTGACGACATGGGTAGTCGCGTGGATGGAAGAATCCAACCCGTGACTTCATTATGGTCGCATAGCTAGCTCAGTAGCTCTCCCCTAGGGTTAAAGAAAAAGAAAAAAAAGGGGGGAGAAAGAGAAACATAGGTTTATGTTTAATGATTGTTATGAATTCAGACCTGAAACACTTGATCGGAGGAAGTCAGTGCAGTGGATAAGGAGCACGCGTTGGAGGACTTTCGTTCTAGCTCTCGTTCCCTCTGGATGGACGATGACAGTGACAAAGGTGGTGCTGGTCTGTTGTCACCACCTAAAGGGAGCTTCCGAGACTCAATGAGACGAGAGTATTTGGAGTTGATGAACAGGGAATGGTCTACCGAAGATCTGCCCGCCGGTCTCCTTGGCACGATCACTGATCGTGGGTCGCCGGGGATACACACCGCCGTCGCCCCTGGAGATTGGCACATGAAACCCCTCATCTTCTTTCTCGTCTTCACATTCATGGCTGAAACTCTGACAGACAGATAGACAAAGAAGTGCACTGCTAACTGCTAAGCAAGAAGAGTAGAGAGGTGGGTGAATAGAAGAAATGAAGTAACATGCATCCTTTATGATCTAGCTAACTTGGGTGGCGGATTTATCTGGCATAGATATATAACCCAAAAAAAAAAAAGCACGGCCAGAGTTAAAACTCCGATTTGTCTTTGTCCAAAAGACTAAAATGCCCTTACCTTTTCTGACGATTCAAGCTTCATAGGTTATAACAAGACAAACAAGCCACTATACACAGTTACACATAACATATCGTCCAAAGGAGTAGTCTGGTTGGTAATAACCATGCACGTGGCTGTAACTAGATGAACTTCTAGTTCTAGTAGTAAATAGTAATGGAGTAAAGTCCAGATTTTCAAGCTAGCTTAATCAGGGTGGATGATGCAGGGAGAAGGGTATTTTGGTGAAGGGAATTTTTTGGAGTAAATGGGAAGAACACAGAAGTTACTTGCTTTCATCAAGTGCGAAAGAGTGAGAAAGTGATGGTCAAAAACGAATACAAAAGTAGAAAGGAAAAAAAAAAAGATCGAGGATTCAGTTAAGAAGCTGATCAGAGCAATAAATGGAGTTACAGAGGGTAAGATTCGGTTACAACAGAGGGGCAGAGCTGCAGCCCACAGCTCCATGTTGCCGGCGAGTTCCGGCCCACCACCACCACCTCCTCCAAGGCTGCACGTACGTACGTTCTGATCAGTTCTCACTACTTCTCAGTAGTTTCTCAGACGGAAGACAGCCAGCTCAGGGAATTCAGAGTTGCTTCCCCCCACAACCACAATGTTGAAGGGTATTTTCGTCTACGAAGATGCTCAATTCACGTGACCCGCTGGCCGCTGCTAAAAAACAATTAATGAAAACAAAATAGAACTAATGGCCACAGCTTGCAAGGCTGGCTTATATAAACATTCTCTTGCTCTACAGTTAAACGTAATCCATGAATTATTGACGCAGATATTTAACCCCCCACCCCATCTCATTCATGATTCAACTCGTAGCTGCATACCATGATCACGAGCTCACGTCCACCATTAATGGGTGCCGTCTAGGGTTCTTCACCAGAGCAAAAATCAAGACTGTAAAATTCTACCAGCAAATGACGTAAAAAAGTTTATTAAGATGATGATTGTTTCGTAGTAAGTAAAACTTATTCTCGGAAGCTGGGTACCAGCTTTTATGGGTAACAGTATAATATTTACGATCCTAGCTAGCTTCCAATTCCAAGGTGTAGCAGCATGCAGCGAACGGACCAGAGACAGACAGACGGGGATGCAAAGCCTTAGTACGTCCGGGAGTAAATAACCACAGAGAAGTGGTGGAGTATTAATTCTGGGATGTATGTATGTAAGACCTTAGAATCTGAATTTGTACAGAGTAGCTAGCTGCTGCACCTGCTGCATTATATTGGAGTGGAGACACAATTTGATGTAGTCAAGCCAAAAACCCGAGCTGCTGTGGAATTGAGCTAGGCATGTTTCTGGCACCCGTAGCAGTATTTCACACCAATTTGGCCATGTGATGACACATACGCCTCATGCAAATTAACCCAGCATGACAACATACAGACATGCATGAAAGCAAAATGGGTGCAGATATGCTAAGTACATTTGCTTAATTTGGGGTTTTGCTCAATTCCGATATATTTTAGGCAAGAGCTTATGGAGAGCCAGCTTATTCAGTTAATTAAGCTGTGGCATAGTACATCTTTAGTATTGGAATATATAATTAATTAACGTTTGCTCTAGCATGCATGATCAATCTCAAGGTGAATAGGTTTTTATTTTCTAAAAATACACCCTCTCACACTAAGCTTAGACAAGCACAAACCCACCCATATTTTGTGTAAAATTTAATTAATTATAACAGGGGCGATGAGGATCAAATGATAGACTGCTTGCTTGGTCAAATAAATTCTGAAACCTTCTCAAGGAACCTTTCTACCTAAAAACTCAAACTGTTAAATAAGGACCCTGAATAGGTGTTTTTTATTCTCTAACAAGTTCTTAGAAAGAAATAAACTCATCAATAAGCTATGATCTCATAATTAAATTGGGTTTATTACTTATACCCTCCATTAATATTTTATTATTTAATTATTTTGTCTAAGAAAACATAATGGTGACTCTTGGTACCTCTCCATTTGTCGGTCCCAGCAACTTTTTATGCGTATGTCGGGACTTAGATGATTTGACATCACACTTGTTAGCCCTAGACTTGATGTTAGTGTGGACCCATGTTGAAGGACGATTCCTTCCTAATTAACTGCATGCCAACTCTACAAGTAGAAAAAACTCTGCACTTTTACTGTTTTTGCAACATGAAATGATCTCTTCTCACACACTGGATGGCCCTTTCGTATACCTAGAAGTAGGGCAATTCTGTGCATTTTTTTTTTCTTACCTTTTTAGAGGCAAACTGTGAATGGTGATATATCATTGTTGAAATGACCAACAGTGCTAGCTAGGTTGCTCTCATCTTCGGATCATTCCCATATACATTTTATTTTTGAATTATTAATTGAATTTGGTCTGATTCTTGTTTTATTGAATTTGGTTGTAGTTGTGTTTTATTTTTTAATTATTAATCTGGATCAGAATAAGAAAGTATTCGAATCTCGAGGACAAAAAAATACAAACTAAACAAAAGACAACAATTGTCCACTTGGCTAGTTATATAAGTATTTTAGGCAAGTTTATCTAGCCAAGCGAGCAGTTAGCCGATATAAGACCAGAGAAAGGGTTACAAAAGTACTTTTTTAATAACTCTGTAAAAAAAAGTAGTTTTTTTTAGTTAAACATGCAAGCTGAAGAAAATACATATAATGCATACAAACAAAACATGGGTTCAGAGAAATGTCGGTTAGCTAAAAGATGGTACATTTCATCATCAACATAGGGAATTTCATGCCAAAATATTGTAAAAATTATGAAACACCCTGGAAAAGTAAAAACCCGGATACATTACAAGTAATTAATTAATGGAAAAAGCAAGAAGCTATGATTGGCAAGAATCAAAACTGAACTCAAGAAAGCATATCAAGACACAACATACAGAAGGAAAACAAAGACTATTTGTATATGGTTCTTATGACCAAGCTTCAGGAAAGGAAACAGGTGGATTGAAGAAATTGAAGCTTTTAGTCATGCAGCTAACATTGTAAAATGGGTGGAATAAACATTGAAGGACTTAGTTCATCACCTTCTCTGCACTGTTTTAAAATGTTAGAGCATGTAAAGAGATCTTCTGATATATTAGCTCATAAAGTAGCTTATATATATTGTTTGTAAAAATGGAACTGCTGTAAATATGGAACTAGCTGATCTATGGATGTACAAAAGGTTATAGAAGTAATGAATATTTAATTAGTCTCTTGTTTTTTTGCAGAAAAAAATATGGATATTTTTTCTAAAAATGATTAAAGATGCATTTGAATTTTTTTTTTTTTTGGTTCTATAAAAGGAGTCAGTAAATATCATAATTCCCTCTAACCTAGGGATTAAATTCTGCCTTAACCACCCCTACCTCTAAGTATTTGAAATATTTTCACAAACCAATGAAGAGACACTTGGTGCAAGAAATCTCTAAAAGAGCAACGGGAAGAATGAGAAAAGTGTTAAAGAATGATTCTCACAATATGACAAAAAAAGGATCTTTATAGAGCAAAATAATGGAATATGATTCATGTAACTTACCCCAAATGGTTGTAACTAAGACTGCTTAATTGAGTTGAAAGACGCATTTTAATTATTATATCACTATAAACTACTAAAATTATCTAGAGAGAGAAGGAAAAAATTACTCTACATTTATAATGTAGCTAAAAATATGATGTATTTATCAGTTTTTTCTAATATGAAAGCTAGTTTTAAAATTTGATACATTTTATATTATATTTTGGGTACCTATTATGGCTTAGGTCCATGTTAGTCAAATTATGAATCATCTCAAGACTTGTCCCAAGGGTTGTTAAATGATGACAAAGTGCACCCATAAAGGTTTCATAAGAAACCTAATCTACTTACCACATGAATCCAAACATTTTTCCATAAAAGGAACAGATCAGCCATAGAGACACTACTTGATGTTGTACGATACGATCCGAGGTGGAAGGATAAGACACTATTTGACACAACAAATAAGATCTTGCCAACTTGCTGATGGAACTGAGGTAGATGAACGAAGTGGTGCATCAAAGAGATCTATAGGCAAAAATCAGGAGCCCGATGAGAAGATCCTTGAGAAGGCACTCTGACGTTCAAGTTAGTAGAAAGCGGGCAGCGCCAGTCATGTCGAGCTTTAGGGGGGCGAGTTGGTCTGAGCTGAAGAAAACAATAAGGTAACAAGAGAGCTAGAGCATTAGGGGAGTTGAAGATTCTTTACCTTGAAGAGGATGTGCTTTTAAATAGGTGAGTGTCTGTGTTATAGCTAAACAAGCTCTTTGCGGGGTTATTAGGATGAGGCTGCCCACTGAGGTTCTCGAGAGGCTCCACCTTCCCCGACAGGGGTGCGACTCCTTATCCATGTGGGGCTTCGCTTCCTTGTGGATTCTTTGACAGTGTGGCTGCTTAGTCGAGCGTTGGTGTGGCCCGAAGGCGTCACTCATGGATGCAACCATGTGGCAGCTTTGGCCAGTTAGGACACCATCCGAACACTATTAATGGAATATTTCTATTGTCTGGAGTACATTTGTTCACATGGATGAAAGTGTTAGGGAGAAAGCCCCTCTCTACGTTTATCAGTTTTGTTGTGCAAAGTGTAGATCGAGAGGAACAAATTAAGTTGAAAGTATAGCAATTTAATTTAAAGGCGATGCCTTAGCCTTAAATAGGGCTGCAAATTAAAAGGTGTCCATTTTTTTTCTAAATTCAATCCCATTAGGGTTCAATCCAATCCACTTATAATTTGATTGAATAAGGATCAACCTCAACCTCAATCTGTTCCTAAAATGACTTGCAGCTTGTTTGGTTGTGATAATAGAGGTCTTGAATCGGAATCGGAATCAAAATTAAATGTGCCATTTTGATTCCGGCCAATTGTTTGATTGGATGGAACTGGAATTTCACTTGAGAGAATGGTCATTCTCTCGCCTTCCCTAAAGA